AGTGTGGAAACCATTTAGGAGGCCTTGTTGGCACAGAAATGGAATCATCAATCTCATAGGGATGTCTTCTCCATTAGTGCAATAATCCATGTAACACTCATCAACGAACACGCTTGTCTTCGTGTGTTTTTCTTTTCTTCCTTTCTTCCTTCGCATTCCACACTCCTCTCTGTTTTCCGTTTTTCTTTCTCTTTTCTTCTCTTCTTCTTTTCTTCTTCTCTTTTTTTTCCTCTTCGTCTTTCTTTCTTTCATTCCGTTCTCCTCTGAGTCCGCCATGTTGAACAGCCACATTCTACAGTAGTCCAGAACGGACAAACCAAACACTGACTTCAGATAGGGCCTTCCACATTTTCGCAGGTTTGAAGAAAAAACTTCTGATCAGACATTTTTAAGTTTGAATTAAGTTTTAACATAAGAGTTGTAGGACAAAAGGTCTCCTGAAGAATAATAAAAATGATAATAAGGTGTAAATATGATATCACTGAAGCTAAGCACACTAACTTGTGACTAAATGGGTCTGAATTGACACTTGTGGATTATTGACCAAACCCAGGTTTGTTCCTGTCCTACTGTAGCGACAGGTTGGAAGTATGATGCCATGAACTCAGCTTTCAGAACTCCTCGGAGTTGCGTAGGATCTTGAGGACTTCTACCATAAATAGCCAGACGGAGAGGAGTGGGGAGAGGGGTCGGTGGGTGGAGGGAGAAGCAGCTCACTGTAGAAATGCCCTTCTGGGTTTCTGAAATTGCTCTAATCTCTCTCTCTATCTCCTCCTCTCCCTCCCTTTTCTGTGTTTTTGCATCTTTCTTCCTAAACAGATTTAGTCCTTGAAACTCTCTGTCTGTATTTTGTCAAAATTCCTGACTCACAAGTTGTCCTCAACCCCATGCCTCTGTAAAAACACATATCTCTATATTCAACCTGGAGCTCTCCTGCTATCCAAGATGTTGGGCTGCTGATGTATCTCTTCACTCTGAAATACTTTCTCCGAATGTGCCGTGACTGTGTACAGTATATTTATTCCCATTAGAAATTAGAAATTGTAAATCATCAAACAGTTAAACTGCTCCTTTGTTTGCATTGCTGAATTGCCTACGGTCATGCCATCCGAACTAAGCTCTTGAAAAATGTACTCTCATAACACACCAGCAGCTATTTAAAGTAAAAATTGTATTGTATTGTAAACACAAAGCACATTATCACAGATTTTCTCCCTCCAGTTGATAAAACTGCGACACATTTACTGTCTTTTCCTTTAATGAGGCTTCTTCAATACCTTTTTTTTTGCTCATCAGCTACCATCTAAATGACATTTTTGCAATAAATGTACCCAGAAGTAACTTATTAGCCTAAGTGTCAGATGAACTTGGAGCCAACATAAACAGTGGAGCCCACCGCACAGTAAATATCTGACTGTAGTCTGTTATTTTTAGTCTGAGGGATTCCTCTTTCACAAGACATTACATCTCTATCCCTCTCCCAGCCGACTTAGGCACGTCCCTTCTCCCATCATGCCCAAATAAAGTGTCCAAATTCCATGTGTGTGCTTCTTCTCTCTGTGAAATGTTTATAAGACCCTCGCTTGGTGTGTGTGTGAGAGAGAGAAAGAGAGGGAGAGGAAAGAGTGACTGTGTATAAATCAGCATGTCACTGTGCTTGTGCACATTTTTGTATATAGAATTCTAATTATTATATTATCTAATATTATCTATATTAAGGGGATGTTTATGGTAATCTGCTCTGATAACATACAATCTTGGTTCATGTTGGAAACATTATAAATAAAAAATAACCTTTTACTACATTTTGATAGCATGAGGTGGAAGGTTAACCAGTTCATTAGGTCCATTATAAAGTTGGTTTTATTGTGCTTTAACTTGATTATTAGTCGGTTATTGGTGCACTGAGCTCATCAGGGCTATAGCCAGGATATTATAAAATAGGCCATTAGTCCAAATTCCACCTGTGCTACAGCTTCGACATAAGAACAACATTTACCACTTATACTGTCTTTAAAAATCCCCCTCCAGACAGATATAGTATATTTTATTATTTTATACAAATATTTTTTCCACAAAAAATAGAATTTTCACATTAAATAGTTAAAAAGACATCTACTCCTTCTAGCTCATTAAAAATTTAATATTTAATATATAATATAATAATAATTTAATATGTCCAGTCTAAAAAAACAATGCCTTCAAATCCCACCATGTGTAATTACATAATGTAAACTGCCGCTAGACTACACTTCAACTGACAGTTCAACTGCTTTTAGCTTTTACACATGAACTTACACTTCAACTCATTTTTACTCTTCAATGACACTTCAACTAACATTTGACTGTCACCACTTCCACTATTAGCAGTGCAACAACTTCAACTCTCTCAGGTGCTTCAATTGAGAGTTGAAGTTGCTTTTTTACATTTGCAATCCAATATACCTTTCAGCTGCTTTCACCTCCTACACTTCAGTGGACAGTTCAACCGTTAGTTAAACTACTTTTAGGGTTCACATGCAAACGGACAATTCCCCTGCTTACAGGGATTACACTTACTTACATTATATTCTCAATCTCCCACATGCATACCATTAACATTTTAAGTAGTTTACAGTGTTTTGCATGTGCAATTTTGATCATAAGTGAGCACCCTTCAACTTTGCTCAGAAAATGCAGTCTGGTCTTTTCTTGCCTGCTATAAAACACAGGGTTAAGAGGTCATACCTCTATATAGATATATATATCTAGATATATTAGTGGATAAAACCTTGAACATCTTGCTAATACACCCACTGCTCTCCCTTTATCAAACATCATGCTGCATGTTCTGCAGTGCATTTGATGCGGTAGGATCAATATTAATCTGGACTCCTAAAAAACTGAAGTTGAACTTTTCCATATTTCAAGCAGAAAAAGTTCATGTGATGTTTTTATTCTCAGTCACTGGGCTTATTTTTTAAATTCCAGAGTACAGTAGTGAAACATCCCAGCTGCAGTGTGTTACATTGTGAACTTCACTGCACTGTTGTGGTCAGTGAAATAGTGCAGCAAATATTTTCAGCTGTGTGTGTTCAAATCCTGCACTGACTGATTGAAGCCTTTTGCATTGTCGCTGGGTATGATGTCCACTCATTTTGCATTTGCACTCTTTCACCACCTCCACAGCCACATATCTTGTACTGTAACAGTTCTATATGTCCCTCTTCCTTTCATCCATCCCTGGTCTTTCCAGAATGTTCCTCTCCGGCTCCATCGACATGCCTGCCATACGTCTGCTAGTGACACACACAAACACACACACAAAATAGAAAGCAGAGGGTGAATCATGCTGTCCGGGGCGCCGCCTCCTCTGACTCGGCCGCTCCACAGATCCCCTGAATCTGCTGCATTCCTTTCCTTGTCATCTGCCTGCCTAGGGGGGAGAGAGAAGTAGCCCACTGGAGTAAAACAGGAAAACCACCTCATTGTTCCCAGAGTGACGTCAAGCGCTCTACAGTAGCTTACACACACAGTTAAACACATGATGCTGCATCTGTCCAACAGCAGTTTATGGATATATATATATATATACACTGTGTATTTTTGGCTAAAATAATCTGAGCGCAAATAAAGCACTTAAAAGGTAGTGGAATATTTCTTATTTTTAAGTATGAGCATTTTAAATGGATTTATCATGGGTACCTTAACTGTGAATTTTGATGAGAAAATATAAAGAGACATCAACAGAACATTTTAAAGGGTAAAAGCCTGTGAGTCCTTAGGGCTGATAAATTATAAAATTATACATTACACAGGTGCTGTTTCAGTTATGGAACATCCATATCCACAGTCTTCTTCATCAGAGAGTTTGCCCAGTTTTCATTGAATTATAGATGTTCAAATTTCCATTTGCCTGAGCATTTTAAGGACTAAAAGTTGAGATTGAAATTATCATTTGGTACGATTGAAATTTCCCAAACAGCTTCTAAATGGACCTTGTGGTCTTGTGTTGCCTCTGCTGCTGTTTCCAAAGTCAACAACGCACTTTCAACATGGACGAGAAGTCCTTGTAGTGCTCAGAGGAGTTGAAATTTGAACCTACATTGGCAAAGCCATCTGTGTACCAATAGCTACAAAAAGGACTTTGTGGTGAGATTGTTTTGCCTACAATCTAAAATTGTAATTTCACACAGCTTGGTCTACCTCTCAGACTTGATATCAGTTTGCAAAATGTGTCCACATGCTGGTGTAGAAAAAGCTGAAAAAAAGCAATCTGCAAGTGCAGTGTAAACAAATCATTAGTACATTTCAGACATGCACAATTAGAAAACAAACAAATGTAAACCTCGATCTGCATCAACAGTTCAAAGTTGTAATAATAGCTTGGCATCTACGAGACAGATTGGCACAAAATTTTGTACAGATGTGGTTCATGGTTGCCAGATGATACTGACTTCAATAATCACCGACTTCTCATCTAGTGCCACAAAGGGGTAAACATTTTTGGTATTGAGTGAAATATCTTAATCAAAGATTGCCTTGAAATTTGCTGCAGACGTCAAAGGTCTCTAGAGGATAAATTCAAGTGACGTTGTTGATCTGCCTAAACTTTGGTTTATGACCAAACACCTGCATAACGAATGACATTCCTATCAGCCTCAGCTAACATTAGCCTTGTCACTGTGGCCGCATGCTAACATGGTTGCTAACATTTAGCTCAAAGCATGCTAGAATGATATGTTAGCAGGGCTGTACTCATAGTCTTGTTTCATTTACTTTGTTTCTGTCAGATATAAATTATTATTATTATGATTATTAGAATTGTTTGAATTATTATTATTATTTCTGTTGTTGTTATTGTTAATAATGTTGTTGTGAATTATTAGTCTTATACCCATCATTATCAACATCATGTAGGCCTGGGCACTAGCAATAGTATTTGATCACCTTTTAATTTTTCTTTTTTTTTTAACATCTTTTTCTGTATCATTGTAATATGTCTACTTTTAGGTTTACTGTAGTATTTATTGATTAATCACAGAATATATTAATCACAGAATAAAATGTGTAGTAACCCTAACCCTAACCCTATGAGGAAATGCATTTTAAGGAAATGACTGATAAAACCTAAATGCAGCTGAACATGACAATGACATAACTTTAGCAAAGTGCGACACCAGTGAAAATCATCTCCGACCGGCTCGAAGGTGGAAAAAATGACACAGATTAATCTAATACCCGAGCGGTGACATCACTCCCCCCGATGAGGAGGCTGCGTCCGGATTGGACGGCGGCCCCGGCCAATCAGAGCGCACACACATGGGAAGAGTTTAAAAAAGATTCAGAAAAGTGTCGGAAAGTTGTCCAAAAGCCTCACCAGCAGGTCCGAGCACGACTGCAGCGATAATAATAATAATTAAAAAAAAAAAAAAAAAAGCAATACACCCACGGATTTGTTCGGGACTTTTCTGTGTGTTTCCCCTGCCTCGGACACAGAGCTGTAACCTGCTTCTCCATTTTTAAAGCCCTCCTCAGCTCCACTGTAAATAGACAAAACAACAGAATGTCAACACATTTCAGGAGCGGACCAGCCTTCGGACTTTCTGCCGAGGTCAAGAGTAAGGTAGGTTTACACTTTCTATGTTGTTGTGGGGTTTATTTGCAGCATACAGACACGTTGGAGCTGGAGCACAGTGAGGTCAAGGGTCACTGAAGGATAGCGTGATGGCGAATACTGTAAACACTCCCGCTGTCGACCTGTTTCACTCACTTTACCTAAATAATAGTGATGGATTTCCTTTAAACTGAATCCTACACAGTGGTGGTTATAGTCAAACTGTTGTGGATATGACATATTGATGTCTTTAAATGGAGTGAGGGTGATATATAACTGGATAAAACCTTTATATAGGCTACCTGAATAACATGTGGGCCTGTGCTTCTTCATTAAACAGATTAGAAATCACACAAAAACAGATCAAACTGTGCTTCATGATTGCAGCTCTTACCTTAAACCTGATATTTTTTTATCATCCTGTCAAAGTTAAGTTATTAAAGAGAGTGTGATATGATTCTCACTCGTGTGATTCCAGGTTGTGTGCTTGGGAAACCGCTACTTCTGCCATTTGATAATAGATCACACAGTGAGGGGAGTGTTTGTTTTGGAGGTGAAAGTAGATCTTAGTGGCCAAATTATCTGTATGATTATGAAGGGTCAGAGTATTTAGTCTGTGAGAGTGCTGCACAAGTGGGTGGAAGTTTGACTTGTGCTG